ATATCAAAGACGCAGCAAACACGCAAGGGACGCACCAACTCTTGGGTGATAGCCCATAATTTAAATTCAATATTCAAATTAACAACAACTGGGATTCAAGCGTGACGCCTGCCCATCCTCGTGCTTGCACACTATATCAGGATACAGTACCTTGGCCCAAGCATCTTTTTCGTCGCTTGAGAAGAGTGCCCGACGCTGTTCAGTGCTTGCGCCCAACCGCGACGCTTGCGTGATTTGCTGGCGACCGTATCAGCACAACGTTTCCACCCACGACCGGCGACGAGGCTGACCTCGAGCGCCTTCTCGAACTACACCTACATTGTACCGTACTCTCGCTGACCAGATCCCCGTCAAGTTGAGTAAAATAACAGATAACGTGTCCAACGCCCGACAGCTTTGCTCTCAATTTTTTCACTGAATACCAAAAGCACACTGTCGCCAACATCACAAAGTAGCTGCCTTGCATTTCACTGGCCAATATGGTATCTTGAAGTTGCCCAACGTAGCTTCAACGTGCGCTTCAACATTGTGGAGTCTGGTTCACGCCGGCGTACCGGTACATTCGCAGCCGCGACTTCGTTCTTGGCATCGTATAGTTATAAAGAAGAACGTACAAGTTTAATTTGGCGACTTATCGTCGCATTTACATAGATAGGAGGAGGAGGATCGGGTGGTAATAGCAAGACGGTGAGGGTTAAATAGAGCAAACGAATGCGCGCATCTCAGACGCCCACGTAGTCGAAGAGAGCGAGGATGCTGTGCAGTTTCTTCTGCTTGGCCCACGTCTGCACTGCGTACACGCCGTCGGACGCGAAAAAATGGTCGTCAATCACAAAGCGCAAGAGCGGCACGCTCGCCTTGGCCACGAGCATCTCGTCAAACGTGACGCGGCGTGCGTCAAGAAGAAATTCGACCACCGACGTGTGGCCCTTGAGCGCGGCGAGAGCGGTCGCGGCCGGTGCATACTCGACGCGGAAGAGGCACTTGACAAGGTTGAGTTCGCCCCAGTACGCGGCGCAGTAGAGCGCGTCGGCGCTTAGTAGCTCTGGGCGGCGCGACAAAAGTGTCTTGACGAGCGTCAGGTTGCCTTCAAAGATGGCCAAGTGCAATGGCAAGCGCGGGTCGACATGGTCGGTGCTGAGGCAGAGTTCAATCGCCGTCAAGCTCGACTCGTGGAGGCCGAGGAACTGCGGCATCGGGAACGTGTAGTGGGCGTCGGGCCCACCGCGCCCATGCAGCGCGCTGGTGACGACCTTGTCGTACCACGCATCGAGGCTCGTCTTGAGAACGTGGGTATCCGTAGTCATGGTTGGTGTGTCAAAGCGCGTGTGGACGATCGGGGCCATCGCGTTTGTCGAGCGGAAATGCAAAGTGAAAATTGCAATCAAATCCAACAAATCCTTCGCGAAACCCAGCGGCCACAGTCGACAATTCCCATTGGTCCATTTTTGCAAGCCAGACGGCGATCCGCCAATCAAACGCGCCGCGTGCGTGGAATCGTAAGGCACGTCGCCCGCGTGGGACCCGCGCCGGCAAGGCTATGCGCACGCCACTGACCGCCGGGACACAAAAGCGCGACCGCACGACGCGCCCTTGTATAATCGTATACGATCTGTCTCTGCACCAAGGCTTGCGACGACCGATCCAGACTCGGTGACGCGATATAACCCCCTATTCGCCATCAACCCGACCCTGTCATGCTCCCTTGGGTCACCAGAACCGAGCGACTTGCGTTTTTTTTTATGTAAAAAAGACGCACCTGTCAAGTGCCCATTACGCCCCACAGTGGCGTCAAGTTGCACAGCGACGAGGCCAAGTCACGACGTGTGTGCCAGAGACGACGAGTAGAGGCGGGGAGTGGTTGTGGTCGACCGAGACGCTGGTGACAGGCGTCTCGATGAAGAGACGCCAAGCAACCACGTCGACGGAGCTCGGAGAGGCTGCCAGTTGTTTCCGAGGTGGCAGCTGCCGTGGTCGGTCGTGTCGAATGGCGTGCGTTTAGCCACCTCGTGGACCGAGCAGCTACTTCAACATCGTGATATGGACAAGGCGTGCGCGCCAGTTGGGACAGCGGACCGTGTCCCACGCGCCATACTACGCGCAAGTCGACCGGTTGAAGTTGCGCGTGCAAAAGAAGCTCAAGCGCGACACCACGCCACGTACTATTCGCGTGTTATAGGTAGGCGACCGATGCAGCTACAAGCGGGTCGTGCGCTTGGTCTTGAAGTCGATCACGACCGAGGCAAAGCCAAGGGTCGCGTTCTCGTGGAGCCGTAGCTTCATCGGCGTCTGAAGCGCCTCAATGTCGTGCCGCACCGACTTGGTCGTCGCGACGGAGGCGTGGAAGCCACTCTCGCCCTCGTCGCCCGACCACAATGCGCCCTCGTCGTTGTTATTGTCGTCGTCGGCGTCGTCGTCTTCCTTGGCTTCGTCTTCGTCGCTGCTGGCCCATGCGACGTGCTGGTCCTTGCGGGCGCGCTTCTGCCACCGGTACGCAGCGTCGTGCGTCGTCCGGCGGGCGCCATCGCTTTCGTCCAACGAGACGGTCGTCTCGGCGGTGCGCGCATCGGCCGTCTCGTCGTCCAGCGACGGGATTTGCTCCCGGTGCCTATTACCGCGGTTCATAAAGGTCGAGACACTACGGGTCGTCGTACATGGTGAGGCTCAAGGACGCCTTCGCTCGATGGATCCAGCGTTTGAGTTGCGGCAGTTGCTACCCAACCTCAGTTGTCGCCTTCCCACCACGTTCATTTACCTTGACTTGGGGAATGCGGTGCAGCATCGTCCAGACTGGCGGTCCCTTCTTTTTGGCCAGCGCCGAGAGCTTGTTGGTGCCTTTGGCGCGCTCCATGACGGTCTTCATGTGCACCACCATGAGCGCCTGGATGTACTGCACGTAGCGCTCCATCGCCTCCAGCACCAGCAGTACGTCATGGCACATTGGCGCCAAGAGACTCTTGTCGGCTGAGATCTCGGGGGCTCCGAGTCGCCACTGGAGGCACTTGTCGACGATGACGACGACGCGTTCGCAGAGAAACTGACACGCGCGCACGAGCAGCGGGACGCTACGCAACATGGCATCTCGAAAAATGAGAAAAATAAGAACTCGTACGTCTTCCGGGCCAGCTCCGAGCTGTAGAGGTCGCCTATATGGGCGAGCGCAATGGCTTTCGAGAGCACTTGCAGGTAGCTTGTGATGCGGTGGTATGGGTCATTGGTCGGCGTCGGGGCCAAGGTCGGATGCGTCGCCATCGAGAGTACACTGAGCCAAAACGACGTAAAGAGCTGCGGAAAGCTCGCACGCGTGCACGTGCGCAGTCCTGGCGCGATGTCGACGTCGTCCGTGACCATCGTCGTGAGCACGTCGGCGGTCCACGATAGAAACGGCAGCGGTAGCGGCGAGAGGGCAAACGCCGTGGCGTAGCAGTGGTGCAAGTAGTACCTGCTTCACATATCAATACAACACACAGCGAGAGGTGACCTCACAAGGATGACGCGGCGTGCGTCGGTGCATAGCTCTTGAGAAACGAACTGTGGTCGAGCCACGTGACCGCAAGCGGCGTTGGCGAGAGGGTTAAGTAGCCCTTCCACGCACTCGTCTCGACATTGGCGTGCGGATAGACAGTCGAGAGGAGTGTCTTGGCGAGCTGCGCGACGTCTTGCAGCATCAACGGGGCGTCTGTGCACACGAGCACGAGCACGTCCAATGCCGCACAGAGCACTTGGGCGTCCTAGGCGATGCTCGTATCGATTCCTCGATCGTGCGTATGATTACCTGAAGTTGACGAAGATGGCTTGATACAAAGCTGTAGAAGACGTCGGCGGCCTCCCACAGCGGCATCTCACGCTCGGCAAAGGCGCTCAAGAAGGCGTCCCGATCGGCGGCAAGCAGCGCCCCCAGAATCGCATACACCTGCAGCAACGTTTCAGCGACCGAATCGGTCGTCGTCGACGTGAGCGCGGTGATGTACGCTGCCCACGGCACGTCGAGCGCGAAGTGCGAGTTGAGTGTCGTGACGTACGTGCCATAGAGGCGCCAGTGCGGTGGCGGCGGCGCGTCGCGGTCCACGAGCCCAATGTAGAGCAAGTGAATGCAGCGCGCTTGACCCAGCGACGGCGGCGTCGATTCCGTGGGCGGCGACTGCGTTAAAAAGTAGCAGACCACCGCGTCATTCAAGAGCCGCAGATAGCCCAACGACGTCTTCTCGTGCACCGTCTAATGCCCACGTTGTCGTCTTTTGGTATCGCGTTGACGTATACCTGCTTGTGCTGGTCAAAGTACCCGACCACTTGGTGCCACAGGCGATCGAGCACGGCGTCGCGCCGACCAGCCGCGAACAGAGTGTTGAGCAGCGTCACGCCGACGTACATGGCAGCCTGGAACATGGTCGCCAGCGACTCTTGGAGCCCGAACTCCTCGGGCCACGCGGCAATGAGGGGCTGCGACACAACTTGTTCGAGAAGCGCGCTATTCAATAGAATACGATGAGCGGCGCTGCGATTACTCGAGTAGATACGGCGGGGCGTAGGCGATAAGGCAGCGCACGAGCTCGGCGAGCGCGGCCGTGCTCTCGCTGCTCTGGGCGTGGTGTTGGAAATACGCCGGCAAGGAGAGCTCTCGGGTCGCCGAAAGCATGCGCCGGCGCCGCAGCGCGGGCAAAATGTGTGTCTCGGCTAGCGACGCGTCGACGTGCGCGCAGAGATACGTGGCAACACCGGGCACGACCTACAGAGTGCAAGGTCCAAGGTCGAGACTTTGCGCTTGGGGACGTACCGAGAGCGGGGCGTAGGCCAGGAGACGTAGCATCCACGCTGTGATCGTGCGCCGGTCCGTGGGCGTGACCACGTTGGCGTACGTCAAGTGCGCGGCGAGCAAGATCGAGGTGAGCTGGAGCGGCGACGCTGGCTGCAAAATATGCTTTTGAATCGTCATCATCAGAAGCGTGTAGAGCGACGGGTCCTGCGGCACGAGCTGGACGACAGCAAAGCAGAGCGGGTCGAGCAGCGACGTGTTGTCGCCTTTCGTCGCGCTCACCACGTGGACCGTGTCGAGCACCAGATGGCCGTACGCGCGAAGCGATGAAAGGGCGTCGGCGACACCCACGGCCGCCGTGACGGCCATGTGACGGCGCAGACTCTCGCGCATACTCGTGTCCCACTTGTGCGACTGCCCGACGAGGTGCAGAAGGAGCTGCAGCACGCTTTGAGGGTCGACGCTCTCGCGCAGAAGCGCCGTGAGACTCTGGATCGCATGCGAGACGAGGTTCGTTCCGACGGCCAGCGCGGTTTGCTTGTGAAACGCGACGTCCAGCAGCAGTGAGCAGAGCTGGACGTAGCTGGCTTGGTACGACGCAAAGACCGACGACGCTACGACGTGCTGCAGCGACAGCAGCCAGTGCAGCGTGATCTTCTTGTGAATGTGGAGGAGGCACTTCCACGCCGTCTACAGGCACAACTTAGAAAACATACGATAAGAGAGAGACGACCGTGTGTTCGGACGACCGCTGGAGCAGCGAGAGAAGCCAGAGACCGTCGAGACGATCGAGGTCGTCGGCCGCGCGAATGGACCGAAGCGTGTACTTGAGGACGACCGAGCCAGAGTAGAGCTGTCCAGCCATGACCTACGCTGACACTCAAACCACTTGGAAATGCAAAGCAAAGAGCAATACGTCGAGGACGAGGTGCAGATGCGGCAGCGACAGACTCGTCGCTTGCTGGCGGATCTGACGCAGTGTGGCGGCGCCCGTCGTCGGCGTGAGCAGCGCAAGGAGACTGCGGATGACGGACGGCACGTCGGTCTCATCGACGCTGTCGAGCATCGTCTATCAATGCATTTGCATGTAAGATCTTAGAGAGCAGAGCCTACGTGGGCGAGCAGCACGATCTCGTTCTGCTGCGACGGCGACAGTGGCATGTCGATGAGCGACCCGAGGAGCGGGACGAGGAGCGCGCTATCGCACTCGAGGAGGTCCTTGTACGCTTGTAGCACGAGGTCAATGCACTTTGGCGACTGGTACGTGAGCTACTGCATGTGTGAGCGTGGCGGCCAAAGCGGCGATGCAAACCTGCGGCAGGTGGTGGATGAGTACGACGCGGTAGCACGACCCGTAGAGCAGCTCGACGATGGCCTCCGTGATGGCTTGGCTTGAGTGGAGGTAGATGCCCATGAGGCGCAGCAGCTGGTTCACGCCATCTTCCGACTCGGTCTCGGCGCGCACGCGGTCCAGCAGGAGCGCGCCGACCTCGTCCTTGACCGGCGCGGGCGCATCCTGCACGAGCTTGGGCACGACCTCGAGGAGGTAGCGCAGGCTTGCATGCTCCAGCGATGCGATCGACGGTCGCGGCAGAGACCCATGCTCCTCGTCCATGCTGGTCCGCGCCAAGGTGCAACCCGCAATGGACCCAGGGCAGGTGGCGTATCCGGATATTGTGTGGTATCCGGTGTTCCGGAAGCCTACGGTTCTATCGCTTCGGTTTGATTGGACAATTCAAAATGAAATGCATACGTTAGGCCAATCTTTAGGCTTGTTGGGGAATCCCGCGGTTTCATTGGTGCAAAAGCGTTACCAGTCCTTTTGGCCAATCACTGGCCACTTTCGATTTGGCCGAGCATGCAACAACAAGCAGCGTATCCGCCGAGCTCGCTCCTCTGGCAGGTCGAGGCCGAGGTCGAAGCCATCCGTCGGGAGCGATCGCATGGACCGCCAAGCTTCCTCTCGTCCAAGGACCTCCTCGACGCGCTCTGCCTGCGCTTCAACGTCATGTCCTTCGCCGAGCTCAACCTCGGTGCGCCGTTTGCTGTGCCCGCGATCCGCCAAGTGCTCGACCTCGAAGCGTCGCTGTGGGACTTTGTTGGGATCTACGTCACGTCACGCGCTATCTCAACGGTCAACGACGCCGAGGCCGGCTTCCTCGAGCTGCACCGCGTGCCGACCTTTGACACACTCGGGCTCGGCACGTGCTTTGCCCTCTCGCCGGCTGTGGCCTACCACTTTCACGTGCAGGGCCCGCCACCGATCGCGCCGCTCTCGACCAAAGACGTGCTACTGCATTTGCGCGACTTTCGCTTCGTCCACAATCGGCAGACGCAGGACCCGGCCGTCTTCCTAGCGTACATGGCCGGGACACTCCAGCATCCGGTGGGCACCCTCGGCGTCGCGGTCGCCAACATGGGCCGCTCGATCGAGCTCATGCGCCGCATGTACAACGAAGAGCGCAAGGAGCTCCGGGATCTCGAGAACGATTTCCGAAAAGACATCACCGCCCGTGTATTTGAAATCACAAAGACCAAATTTAGCGCCGAAAACCGGGAAAAGGCCATTGGCGACGCGCTTTCCGCCCAAAATGTCGCATTGCCCGAGGGCAACCAAAAGGCAAATGTGGCCGCGCGCGTTGCGTCGTCGCTTCTGACGACAATCACGCGCCTCGACGCCGAGCTCGACCAGGAGATTGCGCGGTACCGGTCGCGCTTGCCCAAAAACGTCGCGTCGACGATCGCAGCCATGGACACCAAATTGCGCGCCAAAGTCGTGCGCAAAAAAATGGAAAAATCGCGGTCCGCCACGGTCTCGTGGGTCCTCTGCAGCATCATGGCCAAAGCTCGCGTGCTCCTCGACACCGACAAGCTCGATTCTGTGGTACGATTTTTCCCGAATTTTTCATGGTTTTCCAAAGTTTTTTTTGTATTTTCTCCTCTTTTTTGTGATTTGCCGATTTTTCCTGGTTTTCGGAATTTCATACGGTGTTTTTGCAATAGCACAAGGGCCAGCAGCGCGAAGCCGCCGCCAAAGAGGACGCCAACGACGATGACGAGTGCAAGTGCTGCTGCGTCGGCAAGGACGCGTGCTCGTGCGCATGTACCTGCAAATGCCACGTCATCGACGACGACGATGACGCCGATGACGACGACGACGAAGGCAGTGAGAGCGAAGACATCAAGGCTTCCATGTCGTTGCCGGTACCGCCGTCGTTGCCAGTGCTGGCGCCGACACCGTCCGAGGTACGCTCTCCCCGACTCATCGTTGCTGCATACTAAACTACTCTAATGTAGCCGGTCGTCGATGCCGCAACGCTGACGAAACTTCGAACCAAGCTTGAGCAGGTCTTTCGCGAGGACGACGACGACGACGTCGATGTTCTGGCTCGTCTGCGCGCGATTGAAGTCGAGCTGCAACTGCCGTCGCTTCTTGCTGCCGCAACAAACGTGGCGTCGCCGCCCCTGCAACTGCCTCTGAAGAAGCGGTGCGCGCGTCGTTGATACCTGTCCAAGATGTCTGACACTATGGTATAGCGGGTGCCCACGCACCTTACTGCCTCAAGTCGAGTCGCTCGTGTACCAGTGCCGCGTCGCGCTGCACGACTTCGCCTCGCCGCCGTTGGCGCCCACCGTAGCGCTAGTCACGGCCGCCGTCGGCGCCGAGCTGCACCTCTCGTCGGTGCCGACGGCCGCGCTTGCGTCCTTGCAGGCGCCGCCAACGACGCTGCTATTTACACACCCGCTGCTCGCCTCAGCGCCGACACTGCCAACGCTCCAACGGTCGATCGCCGAGCTGGTCGCCGCGCTCAAAGCACTTCCGTGCTTGGTCGACATCGAGTCGGCGCTTGGCTGGTCGCTGCATTTTGCCCACGAGCACGGACCCTTGCTGCCGTTCGTCCAGCACCATTTGCCGCATGTCCCACTTCTCAAAGTGCGCTCTGGCGCGTTTCTCAAGCTAGCTGCCACGTCGACGCCGGCGTCAATTGCTGTGACCGGTACGACCGGCGACGACCTCGCCGTGCACGTTACCTCAATGTTTGTGGCGATGCGCGACGCGTGTCCGTGGACGCTCATCGACTCTGCGATCGTGGCGGTGCTCGAGCAAGTGCCGGCGCCGGTCGACGTGGTCTTGGCCGCGCTTCGCCGCCTTCCGCTCGACCTTGTCCCGCATCTCGGCCCGCACGTGCTCCAAAGCCTTGCAACAGTCGTCCACTGTATGCCCGACCAGCTCTGGCGCGCAGCAACCCACTGGGCCGACCAGCTGCGGTTGGCGCACTTGGGTGTGACCGCGTCCGTGCCGCAGTGGCAAGCGCACCTCGACGCGTTCTTTTCGAGCGGCCGCTTTGCCGCCTCGGCGGCAGTGTCGGCATCGCCGACGCCGGTGCAAGCCGACGAGGTCCAAGCTCGTGCCGTCGCGACACCGCGTGTCTCGGTTGGCGCTACCTTGCCGTCGACGGCCGCTGTCGTCGCAACGTCCGAGGTGCAACCTGTCGACGGCGACGCGTGCCGCTCGCTCGTCGAAAGCATTCGACGCGACAACTTTGGGATTGGGCTGCCCGTGACGCCCGAGACGCAAGCCTTTCTGCAGCGCCAGCACCAGCGCCTCGAGCGCGCGCTCAAGCGCCTTAGCGAAGAGCTCTACGCCGCGTCGACGCACTTTGTGCTCGAGCTCATCCAGAACGCGGACGACAACACGTACGCGCCCGGTGTCTCGCCTTGCGCGACGTTTGTCGTCACCGATGACGCAATCACGTTTGTCTGCAACGAAGTCGGCTTCCAGCCGGCGCACGTCCGCGCGCTCTGTGACGTCGGCGCGTCGACAAAGGCGAGTGCGACTGGGTTCATTGGCCAAAAAGGCATTGGATTCAAGTCGGTCTTCACCGTCACGCACGCGCCCGAGATCCACAGCAACGGGTACCACCTGCGCTTCGACGCCAACCCCCAGCATAACCTTGGGCCAGGTACTCGTTTTTTCCAAGATTGAAAGATTGATACATTGGCATACCGGCATCGCGGGTGGCAGCAGCAACTTGTGCTGGCTTGCCCCCGCGATCGCTTGCACAACGGTCCGATGTGCATGCGGCGTCAGGTCATGACTCGTGTCATGACCGCGCCTTCGCACGACATGAAGATATACGTCCATCTTCGTCGGGACACGTGCTTTGTCGCCTAGTCTACCTCGCCATCGGGAGCATTCCATGAGTCTGACGCGTCATCCGTAGACCATGTGAGCTACATTTTGCCGTACTGGATCGACGCGCCGGCGTTCCCCGACTCGCAACAGGGCACGGTCATGCACTTCCCGCTGCACGCGCAAGCCAAAGCGCAACTGCCGTCGACGTGCGCCCTCCTCGAGCGCATTCAACCGTCCATTTTGCTTTTCTTGCAGCAGCTCGAGTCGCTCGAGCTCACCAACAACGTCCTCTCGACACGCGTGCGCTTTCAAAAGACGTGGAACTCGCCGCATCTCGTGACGCTGCACACGAGCGCGTCCACGTCCGAGCAATGGTTCGTATACTCAACGATCCCAAACGTTCAACGTTCTATACTCTGCTGGGGTTAGGTACGTGGCCAAGCGCGCGATTCGGGTGCCGACCGCCAATCTGCGCGAGCAGGTACCACCAGGCGCGTCGACGCTGCTCCAAGTCGCGTTTCCGATCTCGGACGAGCACGTGTCGTCGCACCCGCTGCAGTCGGTGTTTGCCTACTTGCCGCTGCAAAGCTACGGCTTTCGGTGCATTTTGCAAGCCGACTTTGAAGTGCCGTCGTCGCGCGAGGCCGTGCTCGACTCGGCGTGGAACCAATGGCTCCTCCTCGAGTTCCCGTCGCTCTTTGTCGAGGCGTTCCTGGCCGTCGTCCAGTGCCATCCGCACTTGATCCGGCTGCTGCCGCTCCTCCACGACGTCCAGCCGCCGTTCCACGTGCTCGCCCAAGACATTGGCATTCGGCTGCAGTCGATGCCGGTCGTGCAAAACGCGGCGGGCAAGTGGGTGCCGCCGTCATCGGTGCTCGATGCCATGGATCTCTTTGGCGACGACGCGCCGACGCCCTGCGACACCATTCTCCGCGACATCTGCGACAAGGACTACCTGCATTCGTCGTTCAGCGCCTGGCTCTCGCCCGAGATGAAGCGCACGCTCGGTATCCAAGCGCTGAGAAGCGCGCATCTCGTGCACATCGCCAATAGCGTGCACCCGTCGTCGCTTCCGACCGCGTACCATGGCCGCCTGCTCGTGCAACTGGCGCGCCTCGCGCAGCGTGAACGGTCGACCACGGCGGTCGCTGCGCAGATCCAGCACGTGCCGCTGCTGCCGCTGGCCGGCGACACCAAGACACTCGTGACGCCGGCATCGACCGTCTTTTTGCCGACCGACGTCGTGTCGATCGCCGTGCCCTTTGCCTCTGCGATCCAGCTCTTGGCGCCCGACGTCGTCGAGCAGCTGCAGGCGACGCCCGTCGCGCGCGCGTTTGCGCTGGCGGCCGGTGTCAAGCCGATGAGCGCGACCGACGTGCTGTTGCACCACGTCCTTCCGCGCGCCAAGGCAGCGAGCAAGAGCCAAACCGACCAGCACGCGGTCATGGCCTTCCTCCTCGCCCACGCGGCGGCGCACGAGGTCTCACCGCCCGTAATAGCGGCCATCAAGGAGAGCGTCAGTGTACTCACCACGCGAGGTCACCTCGTACCGCTCTCGCGCCAGCTGTATCTCGTCAACCCGAGTCTGCCGGACGCCAAAGCGTTCGACGCCTTCTCGGTGGTTGACCCATCGATCTACGGGGAGAAGGCGGCCGGGTTCTTCTCGACGGTCTTGCGCATGCCCGTGCTGTTGAGCCTCGATGCTGGCAACGACGACGTGCCTGGTCTTGACGCGATCGTGGCGTACGCGGTGGCCACGCCCAGTGTCCCTGTCGCCACGGCACTGCTCCAGTACCTCGACCAAGCGTGGCGCCCGACGCACACTTCCTCGCTGCTCTCTGCAGTCTCGACGCTGACGGCGCACGCGTGGGTCCCCGTGCAGCACGCGTCAACCGTGGCACTCGCGCGACCGTCCGAGGCATACGTCTGTTCGCCGTCGCTTCCTCGTCGCCTGCGCTCGCACGTTTCGGCCACCGTCGTCGATGTGACCAACAAGGCGCTGATCGCTGCGCTGCAGATGCACCACGGCTTGTCGCCAAGCGACCTTGTACGGCTGCTGCAGTCGCCTTCGACGACGGACGCCGACGTCCACGTCATTTACGAGCACTTGCAGACGCTGCTTCGGGACCTCTCGGACGCCGACGTTGCGTCGGTACGCAAAGCCTTTGCGTCGGCTCCGCTCGTGTTTGCGGGCGACGGCTCCCGTCGAACGCTGGCGCAGTGTGTGTGGAAGATGCATGACGTGGCGCTCCCGGGGCTCGTTGCGCTTGCCTCGGTCTATCCCAAGACGCTCAAAGAGCTGTTTGTGCGTCTTGGCGTACCCACGCACCCGACGATGGCTAACGTGCTGGCCGCGCTCGCGTCAAATACCGTCGACAGCCGCCCGCATTTGACGTTCTTGGCGGCGCATTGGCAAGACGCGCTGCCCTTCAAGGCGACGCTCGATACGCTTTCGTTTCTACAAGCGATCAACGGCACCATGGTCACGTTCGGCGCCGGCGCGTACTGGACGAAAGGCGTGCCGTCGTGGTTCGACGCGCTATCGCTCAACACGCCGCTCGTCGACGTCGCGTCGGCCGTCAACGCGCCGTTCGAAGGGCTCGTGCAGGCGTGGCCGACCCACAACCTCGAGACAGCGATCGTGTCGGCGCCGGCCGAGTGGTGTGCGCGCGTCGCGGTCGTCTGCGCCAACGCAACTGTGCGCGAGAGCACCAAGCACGCGCTCGTCCTCGACGTCCTCGAGCTCTTGAGCGAGCACAACGTTGCGTTGCCCGAGGCAATGGCGCACGCGATCTTTCCGACCCACGCCGGGACGTTTGTCGTCTTGAGCGACGCGCACGTGCTGGCCGGTGATGACGCACCCTTGCCACTCGCGCTGCCGCATCCATCGCTGCTCGTGCTTCCGTACGATGTCTCGCTCCGAGACTACTTGGTCGCGCAAGGCATGCCGACGGTGGCCTACACGACGCACGTCGAGTGCGACGTGACGTACGTTTTGTCTTCCCTTTGATCCAAGTCGCAAAATGCCATGGTGGGGTGTAGGGTGCCGGACGAAGACGGGCTTCGGGACTACATTGCGCGGCAAGTCGACCGCGCGGCGCTGCCGCCGCCCGCGACCACGGTGCGTGCTGGTACTCATGTCGCAAAGGTCTCAGTGTATATACTGTAGGAGACGTGGGCGGCGTTGCTTGGGCGCCTGCGCTGTTCGCTTGTCTCGTCGCTCGTCGTCGAGTGTGCGATCAACGGCGCGGTCGTGCATCGGGAGCACCACGCGTCGTTCCTGCACGACCACCGCCTGTACGTGCAAGAGCCGTTGAACGAATATGTTGTGTTTGCGACGCTGGCCAACCACATGTACGGAGCGTCGTCCGAGCTCGCCTCGTCCGTAGCCAACGCTCTCTTTGTACGGAGCATGCAGCCCGAGTCGGCCGTGCCGCCGCCGCTCTGGAGGTACTCTTGGATGCTATATCGGCGATTCATCGCATCATGTAGCGAGGGCACCAAGCTCAAGCGCAAGCACGACTGGGCCAACCCGCAAGCGCTCGAAGCCCCGAGCAAGCGGGTCCGGCCGTCCCAAGGCACCATGTTCCAGGTCGAGATGCCGCACGCGGGCCCGTTGCCCGCCTACCATGCCCAGCGTCCGCTCCAGCTCACGGATGAGATGCGCATGGCGATCGGGCGCGCCGGCGAGGCATATGTGTACGAGGTGCTCCACGCATCGCTGGGGGCGCGTGTCGAGTGGATCAACGCCGACGAAGAGACGGGCTTGCCGTACGACCTCTGCATCAACCACGAGAGCGGCGGCCGCGAGTACATTGAGGTCAAAGCCACGAGCACGTTCGACAAGCTCTCGTTCGAGATGAGTGTCCAGGAACTCGACTTTGCGGCCGCGCACGGGTCGCAGTATACGATCTATCGCGTCTTCCAGGTCAAGCCGCATGTTGGCGCCGTCGTCAACTGCCCGATCGTCAAGCTGCGCAACCCCAACACGCTCCTCCGACAAAAGAAGCTCAAGCTCTCGGTGGTCATGGATGCCAGTCTCGCCGTAAAAGCGTAAAAACCAGAGAAAAGACGATTTTTCATATCATTTTTCGTTTGGTGCACCATGGCGCCCACGCAGCACAAGGTCCTCGGCTCGTCACTCCTCGTACGTGCACTACGTCAGCTCTCGCAACCTATTGCGTCTTGTCGATCTTCTTCTAGCTCATCCTGCTGCTCTCGGCCAGTGACCTCTATGTGGGTCATCGAACTTCGTCCAAGATCACAGCGGCCGCCTGGGGCGTGCCACTTCTCGTGACCGCAACGACGCTTGCTGCTGTGTACGCGACACACCGCCCACGCCCGCACGTCGCCATGCTGGTACGGTGCTTGGAGGCGAGGGTGAGATACAACAGCGCACTGCGTAGATTGGCGGGCTCTGCCTGGTGCAGCTGGGGCTCGTCGCGGTGACCCTCGTAGCCGCCATGCTTCGTCTCGGCGCGACGTTGTGCTGCTGCGGCTCGATGCTCTGGTACGATTCAATGGCGTGTGGAAGCTGATCAAGGACGAATGCTACTAGTCCAGACGACGGCACGCTGCAACTCGAAGGGTGTGCGACGGCTGCCGACAACTGGTGCCAACTCTAGCTTGATAGCGTCGAGCTGAAGTGGGTTTGGTCGGTAGCGCCACGAGTCCGTTGCGCAAAGCGTGTGGAGTGTACGCGCTCGTGCGTAGCCTGTATCTGACGGTGAGGACGCGTGTTTCTTCGACGGATTGATGTGACAGAGTGCGCAGATGTGGGTGGCCACGCTGCAGTACGAAGCGGCGAAGGCGCACCTCGCTGTGCAAGACAGCTACGCAGCGTACGTTGCTCTCTATCAACGCTCGGACCCGAGTCTCTTTGGGGCCCGCGCCGACGTGGCGCTGAGCATGTCCCACTGAACATCAAATTAAGGTGGGCAGCAAACGTAATGAGCGTGTTTGAGTTGTTTCGAGGATAGCAAGATGCAATAGTGATAGTATAAGTTATGTGTCATATAGTAGGTGTGTCGCTATTCTACAGGGGCAGTTCGGCGCACGGCTTTCCGACGAGATAGAGCAAGTCGGTGGCGACGATCTTCATCGTGCCCGGCGGGTTTGTGTGTACGTACGACGGTGACTTGTCAGACGCGAGGTGGAGGCACCCGATGCAAATGAGGTTCTACGACGTATTTTGATAATAGAAAAATAGGACAATAGGACAAGGTACCAGTTTGAGGCATTTTCGAAAGCACTCTGCAAACTCTTTGCCGACGAGCAGCGCGGGCACTTTGACTTGAAAGAGTCGTTGACACCTACGAGATGCATTGCACACTTGATACATTGAAACAATACAAACTCGTCGTCTTCGGGGGACCCAAACATGAGAAGGTTGACGACCGACGTGATGTTGGGTTTTTGGTAGCACTCGCTCATGAGCGAGTCGATCATGCCGCTGACGTACACGCGTCCTATGCCTGACGTTGGCTGCACAATTCGCCATAAAAATGGGGTACCCGAGGCGTACGACGGCTCGCAAATGTGCTCGATATCGATCTTTTGGTCGCTGTTCTTGGTCGCGTCCAAGCCGTTGGTGTTGGCGTACTTGAGCGCGACGGATCCGAACGTCCGGTAGTGCCGGCCGTCACTCTGCCGACGGCCTCGGCGAGGCGGTCGTTTGACGATAAAGCTCATAAACTTGACGTTCGTGGCTTTCACGAGCTCCACAATGAGGTTGGGCGTCGCGGACCCGCACGCCTCGATGATGTAGCGCACGGTCGTGATCGCGTCGGCGTCGACCATGTTTTCGTCCACGTAGCGCCGCTTGGACGACGTCGAGGCCTAGTCAGCAACTCCAATTTTGCTCATTTTTAAAGTACGTACGAGAATGATGATGGCCGCGGCGCTACCAATGTGGATGCGCTCCAAATCGAACGAGCTCAGCGGAGACCCCTGGAAAAAGTAGATGCCATCCGGGTCCGGAATCGTCTGGAAATGCGCTTCCGTCATCCCAAACGACGAGATAAAAACGATGGGCTATAGAACAAAAGATCACGTGTCGCATACTCAAATGCAAGACGATCGATACCTGCACCGTGGACGCCTCGACATTGTGCTGGCGCAACGGCATGATGAGGTCGTGCAGCGAGAGCGGCAGTCCGACGACGACCACGTGACCGCTGAGTACGTCGGGCAGCGGCTTGTCCTACCAAAGTCCCGTCACTTGACCGATCGTTCACCACAAAATGAACCAGAAAGTCCTTGTACGGCGACGACTTTTCAAACGCGTGCTTAACGCCATGGAGGGTTTTACGCATCGCAGCAAAGCCCTCGACCTTGAGGCCGGCGACGGGCTGTTGCTCTTCGGTGATAGACCCTCGACGCGGCTCGGCCGCGCCCGCGTCGGGGCTGAGCTTGGGCTTGATGATGACGGCTTCGCTGTGCTTGGGGGCCTCGGGGGGCGGCACCACAATCACCGCTTCGGTGCGCTGCCGGTTCGCTGCGCGCTCGGCCATATAGCGCTCTTGCTTGCGCAGCGTTTGCCGAAACTCGCGGATTTGCTCGAGGGGGTACTCGGCGATGCGGTCCGCGACGGAAATCCCGGCCGCGAGCACATAGAGCGTGCAGCAGATGGTCGGGTCGGCCGTCGTGCCGATCTTGAAGTCCATGGGCATGATCCGCGCGCCTTGGTCGGTGAGCATCGCGATCGGGATCACTTGGATCGTGCCAAATAAGAACAAAATGAGCTCGCCGTACGTGAGCCCGGAAAACGTGCGGGGAAGGTCGACTTTGTAAATCTCGTGAATGTAACCTAGGGGAATGTAAACACACAACAGATACGACCATAGCACGGACCGCGCAGATAGGCCGCCTCCCACGAGTCGGACGGGTACAAGAACTCGACGTTGGGCGAGACCGTGTCGAGGAGGTTGGAGAGGAGCGTCGAGAGCCCCATGATGGAGCAGTTCAAGCCCACAACGCCGAGCTTGAGTCGCTCGATGCAGACGACGCCGGACGCCCCCGAGAGCGTGCAGTGGCCCATGTTTTGGGACGAGTACACTTGCGAGTAGATGGGAATTTTGGCGTTCGAGCCGCGAAACGCAGCTGTCAAGAGCGTGCTCGACTGGTCTTCGTTGGACGACCGATGCGAGTGCTTGTTGATCATGACGTAGCAAATCGACGCGCGGCTGATCATCGCGCGCTCCAGATCGAGCTCGTTCATGGCCGAACCGACAATGTACTGGACGCGCGGTTCGTACTGGTGTACGATCTTTTTCACTTCGCTCGTTGGCGCCGACGGGTGCAAGATGACAATCTGTACATCGTTTAGCCCTTTGTGTTGTCGCAAACATATATATACCTTTTCGTTCCAGTTGGGGTTGTCGGGGTGGAAAAATTGCCGTAAAAAGTTGTTGAGCGCGCCGGCGCTCACTTCGCCGCCCGCCGTGATGATGCCGTGGGTGTGCGTTCGGTACTCTTTGTACGAATTCGTGTACCCCGAGTGCGACGATATCGTCGCAATCAACTTGTTGACTTGAATCGGCACGAGCACGAACGTGAGCATGATCATGAGCGACGTGGCAAGGCGGCCAAACCGGCTGCGCGGCGCAATGTCGCCGTACCCGAGCGTCGAGATCGACACCTAAAAATTGGTTGAAATTGGCATCCAAAAATCTCAAAATTCGACAAAGTATAAAATTCGACTCGACAAACAAACTTTGCAAACAAGAAAAATGCAACCTACCACGACAAAGTAGACCCAGTCAAAGAACCCGAGGTTCTGGCACGTGCAACAATAAAACTTGTCGTTGAGCTCCAGACACGCAAGTGTCTCGGGCGCGCGTTCTGCGGTCGGGTCCATGCACGTCTGCACGAGCATGGACTGGCACACGGTCGGGCACTGCGCCGCGCACTGGTCGAGAATCTGGAGCATGCCGGCCATGGCGACAATGATGCAAATGACCGTGAGGACGGTCGCCGTGATTTGGCGCGTCACGGTCGACTTGATGTACTTGAGAATGCGGTACGAGCGCAGAATGCGGACAGTCTTGGTAACTTGGAGGATGGACACGAGCTGGCGCCGCGTCGGGTCGTCGGCCCAGCGCGAGAGCACGTCGTTGCCGAGCGCGAGCTCAATGACCATAGGGACAAACGAGACAAAGTCGACCATGGAGAAGAAGCTGCTAAAGTGGTTGCCACGCAGCGGCGACGCGTAGAGTCGCAGCATATAACTAGACCGCAGCAATTAGAACTACAGCAAATGCACCAAAATACACGTACTCGCAGAGGAAGATGACGCCGAGTGTGTAGCCAACCTTGATGACTATAATGCGATTCTGAATACAAGTCGACAAGAACGCGAACAAGACACGTACTGTCGGACTGGGTGTTGCTGTCGAGAAGCGGTCGGGGTCCGTCGCGGTTGACGCTGATGTAGATGCCGACCCAGATGAGACTGAGGAGGATCATGGAGCCGTCGAGCGTGCTGCCGGCGTTCGACTGCTCCAATGTGCGGAGCGTGTAGTCGCGGATCGACTCGCCCGAGTCGCGAAAGAGAAAAAAGATACCACGCGCTCGCGGATCCCGAATCTGCTCGAGCTGATTCGAGACTGTGATGGACACCATGCGCTGGATCGACTGCCGGCGGCTCGTCGACGACTCGAGCTTGCGCTTGCGCATCGCGGACATCGGTGGCGCCTTGGACGAGCTCTTGCGCGACGACATTCGTTCAACAACGACCACTGGGCCTCGTTGGCGCGGCAGGCTATTCTCGGAGTGAACCACCTTTCCCAAAAAAGGCGCCAACGGTCCGTTTCAAAAACCAAGTCCTCATAAACCGGCAGTCGGAGGACGGCGCGACGACGTAGCCGCTAGCCGCTACGATAGTCTAGTCGTCTCCATATTCAAATTTGAAAGTCAAATGTGTTGTTGACCTGTTAATCGCGCGTTCTTGGGTGATTTGAGAATCCTTCGAATGTGCTGGTGGACGAACGACTTGTTGGCATGCGATGAAGATGGAGATTGGATACACTGGATACACTGGATACTTTGTATAGATAGCTTGAAGGAACCGAAACCTGAAGAGACAAAAAATCAGCGCTGTCAAAGGGCCCGTGCTCCTTGCACCGTGACGAAAAGCAACGGCCCGTTTGGCGCCACGTATTTTTCACGTTTTTCGTAAAAACCACGCAGGTGAAAATTGAGGGATTTGTGCTGCTTTTGACCAGTGCATTTTCAAACTGTCAAGATGCGAGCCAGCCGCGCCCTATATTCGGTGACGCGGAGTGTGTTTGCCAAGGCGGCGCCGTCGCTGGACCACGTGTGCATTGTCTGCAAGGACGTAACCAAGTCCATTGCGTTCTACGAGCGCGTCTTGGGCGCCGTTCACCTCTACAAGGACGACCCGAACTTTGGCCAAGACCCGGCCTTTCTCCGGATTGGCGCGGCACAGGTCGATGATTCTACTGCCAGAGCATGCATTATACGGTGCGCTGTAGGTGGCGCTCTTGCCGCTCGCAGTCGGCCAAGCGCAGATCCGAGACCACAACGGGGCGCATTTCGCCATGACGTGCAAGGACGCCGTCGACTTTGCGACCATCAAAGCGTCCTTGTCGAGCGACTTGGCGGCGCATGGCACGAACGCTGAAGTGCAGTACGAAGACTATGGCCGGTACGTTGTCATCCTCCTGCAGAACGTTCGATCATCGTTCGGCAGGCAACTCTCGCTCTTCTTCAGCGACCTTGACGACAACATCCTCGAGATCACGCATTGGAAGACGTCGTAAATGCACGCTGCAGGCCGCAAGCGCCATCCCGAATGTGCGATGTGAGAATTGAGAGTTGAGAATTGAGAAGTGGGAATTGGAGAATTGAAGAATTGAGTTGGTCGGTGATTTGGTATTTTGGTCTAAAGTTTCATTCCGGATAAGCATATCCGGACAGGCACCGGTTGCAGTTGGTGTGGATGCTGGCCGACCTGCCCGACGTCTGCAGGCAGCGCTTGTACGTCTACCTCGAGGCGCGGGACCTCGGCCGCGTCTCAAGCACCTGCCGAACGCTGCGCGATGCCAAGGCGCCGTCGATGCACGACCACTGGCGACGCCTCGTTGAGCGTGACATCCTGCGCGTGCCAGTGGCGGTGCCCCGGACCTGCACGCTGCAGCGCCGCAATGCATTCTCCGACCTCGACATCCACTGCAGCAACCAAGACGACGACGATGGAGCCGCAGCAAAGCGCTGTTCGTTCCAGGACAAGCTTGTTTCTGCTCGCACCTCGTGCGGCGTCGACGCCGACGAAGAGAAAAAGTGGTCGATCAAGCCCATGCGCGCGCTGTCATGGCCGGCCATGTACCGCGTGTGCATCCTCAAGGTCCACGCCCTGCACAACGACGATCTTCGCTTCCAAGAAGAGATGCGACTGCTTCAGGACTTGAAGCGCGAACGCGGCCGCCTCAAAGACCTTTTCCCAGCGTCCACCAAGCACATGAAGGCGCACGACGGCAGCCGCCGCGCCGCGCCCTTGAGCTGCGTCAAGTTTCTCAACAAGACGACGCGGCGCTTCCTCGCGCTACCGCAGTCGTCCGGAAGCAACAACCAAAAAGCCGAGCACCACGCCGAGCTCGCTCGCGTCGAAGAGATCATCAAGGAGTACACGAGTTCGACCTTCTCGATGCGCGTGCAGCTGCGCAAAGACTACCGCAAGCTGCAAGGGTACCTTCTCACGGCCCGGCTCGCGCTCCACGACACGACTACCACGCACTAATAACAATATAAATCACGCCTTCCTCCTACTCTACCTGACGAGGCCCGTGACGACGACGACGTGCAAAGGAACTGCGTGGTGTCTGTCACACCGCCACTGACACTGCTATTAGTCGAACGAATGGCATTCCAGACCGTGCATCACAGGCGCACTGCGACACCGCCGATTTCGACTCCGACGGCGGCCCGAACGCTCGAACGGGTGGCCGCGCATACCAATATGGTATAACTGGTTCTACACGTCATCTCAAGGACGCTATTCTTGCACAGTGAATGGGCTGCATGGGCCACAGCGTACTCGGGGCTATACGGTCTCGTGCGAGCGGACGGCGCGGCTCGAATAGAAGCGGCGCGGCTCGAATAGAAGCGGCGCGAGGCTGTCGCCGCCTGTCCGACGGCGGCTCTGTGGGTGCGGCGACGACAGCACCAGCACCTCCTGGCCACGACCAGAGCGGCTTTTATCTCCATATGCTAATGTGTACTTCATCTTTGTATGCAACCACAATATTTGGCCCAGGAGGACCTGCGAGAGTGGAGGATGCGCCGTCGGATCCGTCGGAAGCGTGACAGGGTTGCCATTTTCCAAGTTGCCACGTCGAACCAAGCACCATGCAGCTCCTGCACGTGGCCGCGTTCATTACGCTTCTGATCTCGCAGACAATGGCCGCCAACGAGACGACCGCTCCGACAGAGACCGAAGCGCCGGCGCCGGTGGCCTGGATCACGCCCTCGCCCAAGGAGCGCGGTCGCACAGCCGACGAGCAGGCCGCCATTGACGGTACGGTGTCAATGTGTCGGTACAGCATCTCATGCGACCGGCGTAGCGACCAAGATGAGCACGGGCACGACGGTGGCGATCTGCGGCTCGATCTCGGGTGTCGTCGCCCTCGGTGGCGTCGCCCTCTGTCTGGCCGAGAAGCGGCGTCGCAACACGCTTGGCGCGCCGTTGGTTTCGTAAGCCGTAGGAACTATGTATGTGACAAAGACGAGTCTTGTTTTGCCATTTTCATCACGGCGCAAGGGTCGAGACGCGGTCTTTGGCGTCGCCGCTCAAGCTCCTATACAAAACGATCGGTGAAAACTGGCTAGCAAGCAAGGAACGACGTACTGGAGGAGCGCAACGACGTGGGGCCGCGTCAAGTCGGCAAGCGCACCTGCGTTCCACTGCTCGATGATGCCAGAGACGCTATTTTCTTCCTACGTTCATAGCAATACTTGCATTCATGCGAGCTCTCGCGGTTGACGACATGCAGTACCAGGAGCGTCGTGATCGTGTGAAAGGCTTTGGCCGACCGCACGTACTTGAACTCGAGCGCCGTTGATGGGAAATAGCTATCGCACTGGACCGCACATCAATCGCGAGGAGCACAATGCGTCCGACGTACGTGGAGGAGAAGCGAAAAGAGGTAGTGCAGTTGGTGCACGGCTTTGGGCGGCAAGACGACGATGGTGCGCGGCGTCACCAGCGCGTCCAGCACAGTGTGCAGGAGCGGCTCGAGAAGGTTGGCCACCACGCGGCAGTAGACATCGTCAGGCGCCAACCCACCTTTCCATGCGTGCACGATGCGTTCGAGCTTGAAGACCACCGACTTGATCGCGGTCTCGAGCTGGTTGAACGCGTTGTCGTCGTCCAGCGTCGCATACGGCTAACGGTATCGTGCATGAGAAGCCACCGAGTCAAGACAATTGCCGACCACGAACGCAGTGCGCAGCGCGTCCTGCAGCTGCGTCGCTTGAGCTTTCCCAAAGGCCACGAGCTTGGTCTCGCCGAGATCGCGCAAGTCTGGGATCAAGTCGATCATCGTCGCGCTGTCGTGCAGCGGCGCCGGCAATCTAGTATCAATATATCAGATATCGAGATGGCAACGGACAGCAAGAGACCGCGACTTGTCGCAAAGCGTGAGCATGTGCCGAGTAAAGTACATGGCGTCGTTGTGCAGCAGCAAGACGAGGCGCGGGTCGAAGCGCAGCTCTTCCTTGTACAGCGTTGGCATGAGCGCCGAGAAGAGACTGAAGAGATCCCGAGCGGTTTGAAACAAAAGCGGCGCCGCCACGTTTGGATCGCACTCGCTCGTCTCGGCCAAGAGCTGGACGACCTGCGCGAGAAGCCACTGCGCGCAGACCGAGACGCGCATCGGCGTCGATCGGTCGTCGTCGTCGTCCGCCGCCGCCACGGGTGACACTTGGACCTTCTTCTTGTGGTTGGTCGGGACAAGAACGGCCGGGTAGCTCGGCACGAGCACCGAGTTGAGGTAGTCGTGCTGCATGCGTTGACGGGCTTCCTGCAGCAGCGTGGCGCGCTTGTGCTCGGCAAATTGCCTACGTCGCACGTACATATATATCCTCCGTTTCAGCCAAGTTTGTACACGTCCAAGTGCTGGCCAAACGAGACGAGCGACGACGGAAGGGCAAGTCGGAGGGCCACGAGCGAGGCTTCAAAGCTGTGCATCTGCCATAGCACAAACGTGGTCAACATGTCGCCTACGGTCACTCGAGGACGCACCACAGGCGTCAAATGCTGCTTAAAGTCCCGCAACTGGGCCGCGTCCGACGGCAGCGTCGACTGCAGCAGCGATACAAACGCTGCTTCGAGCGCCGACGACCACAGAACGGCCATGAGCTTCGTGAGGACGCTCTCGCCTTCGTCGAGCGGCGGAAGAAACGGCGCAAGAAACTTGAGCAGCGTCGTAACGTGGGCACAGAGGTGCTGGACGCGGGGAATGCCCGTCCTATGCACAGACGTAGGATCCCACGCCAGGTACAGAGGAAGGGATACGAGGCTGCCGTCTTGGGCGTCAACGTGACGATCGTTTGGCGCACGGTCGGGACGAGCGACGCGTCCGCAACGAGCGGCGCAAAAATGTGCTCGTACAGGTCGGCCGCGAGCTGCTCGAGGTGTGTCACTAAGCGGCCCGTGCGCTGCAAGGTCGCGTACACGGGCATCGACGTCGGCGTGATGCTCATCGAACGCGGCGAAATCTTCCAGAGGCCTGAGAGCGAGTCGGCGAGGTAGCACTGCAGCTGGTTCAGGCGCGCCTCGTACTGCATCTGCATGATCTGCACGATACGGTACTCCATGGACGCCTTGGGGTGCTGCGAGTCGACCTTGGTCAGACACGTCTGAATGGCCGCGAGGTCGGTCGCGGCGCGTGTGAGGTCGGGCACGTCCATCGCCAGGTCGAAGCTCTGCAGACCCGTGTCCAAGTCGGAGAGAAGCTGCAGTAGCGAGAGCGTGCTCTGCGACTGCTGGATCTGGACGCTCAGCCGCTCGTGCGCGAGAACAGACTGGTGCAACGTCCCGCGACTCGACGCGTCATCGTCGTGCTGCAACTGCGCAACTGTCTCGGACAAGACCGTCTCGAGACGCGCCATGCGCAGCTGGATCTCACTCGCCGGGAGGTCTGCCAGGTTGCTACGGAGGTCGACCTTGCGCGACCAGCTCCCGGCAAACTCGATGGCCTCGTCGAGGGACATGCTCGAGGACGTCGTCTGCGCGCCAGCGTAGAAGGTCCGGATCGCCTCGAAGATCTGCGCCTTGACGCTCGCGACCTCCTCATGGAGCTCGCTCAGCTTCCTACGCCAGGCATCGCATCCTCATCCTGCACCATCCTCATGCGTACCGCGCGAGCTCGTCCGTCGTCACGCTCATCCTGCCGCCGAGAGATATATTGCCCGAGTTTTGACCAATCACAGCGCTCCAGTAAAAGACCACCGAAAAGATAAAGCAATGCACCCAGCCAGCCTTCGCCGAGGCAGCCATAGAGCTGTACCGGCAGCTCTGTAGTGCGAGTGCCGATGTGGCCGCGACGCTCTCTCCAGCGGTCGCGAGCGACGAGGCGCAAAGATAATTGCCAGCATCAACAGCAGCAGTAGCAGTATTATGACAGCGTTAGCTCTTGCTCGACAAGGGCGATCTTGGCCACGCGGGCGTCGATGCGCGCGTCCATGGCGGCGAGTGCAGCGGCGAGCCGGTCGCGACGGCCGCGCAGTGTAGCGATCTGGTCGTGGCAGAGGCTCCGTCGAGCGTCTTGAATGCGAACGCGCTGTGCGCTGACGTCGCTGCGCTGGGCGTCTTGGAACGACAGCGTCGAGACGCCGTCCTCAAAGAGCTTGGACGCGACTTCATACTTGGTCGACGACGGCGTCGAGATGCAGCTCAGCATGGCGGGCGGTGGCTGAGGCAAAGAGCAGAAAATGGGCTTGTCAAGCAGTTTGGCGTCGTATCCGGCGACGTCAACAATCCGGATAGATAAGCACATGGCGGAACAAAGACAATGAATGCGAAGCAAAAAGTGCAGGGCAACAGTATCTCGACTCTACAAACATCAGTGATGTCTAAGCAGAGAGAGAAAACATGTTTCCAATTACACGTCTAATGACCTATACAACAATATTTTTATCGAATATTTGTGCCTTACTTTCAACGACTTTTCGCCTTTTTCCAAGTGTTCTAGTGCTGCCAGACGAGCTTTGGTATGCATCCACACGTTTTCATTTCTTCATAGCAGCTCTATTCGAGCTATTGCTGCATCGCA